ATTTTCTGTCAGTTCAGGTTATTTTTTGTTTTTCAATTTGTTGTCCTCTTTTTGGTTGTGCGAGGAGGCACAGTATGTCTACATACACCTCCATCTTGGCTGGAAGTCCATGTAATTCTTTTTATGGTTGTGTGAGGAGGCAGAACATGTCCACCTATGCTTCCATCTTGACCTGAAGTTCCAGTTTTTTAAAAATATTTTTGATCTTTATTGAGGCATAGTTGACAAATTTGTGTGATACCTGAAGTGGACATCTTGGTGATTTGATAGATGTATGTACATTGTGAAAGGATTCCAACCATCAATTTTTAACACATTTGTTACCTTAGATATTTATTTTTTGTGAGAACTTTCAAGTTCCCTTAGAAAATATCAATTATATATTACAGTGTTATCAACTGTAGTCATCATGTTTTACATTATATTCTGGAGGACCCTATTCATCTTAGAGCTGAAAGTTGGTACGGCAAACACTTTTCTACTCTGGTTTTGTGAGTTTTCTACTCTGGACTATTTTTTAATAGTCCAGATATATTTGCAAACCTGATAAAGGGTTAATACCCAAAATTTGTAATGAAAACATACAACTCAAGAGCAAATCCCTCCACCCCCAAGCAAAAATATTTCACTTGAAAAATAGGCAGAGGTGCTTAAGAAACATTTTTGCAAAGAAAATGTAGAAATGGCCAGCAGGTACTCGAAGAGATGCCTAAAATAACTAATCATTAGGAAAATGCAAGTCAACCACATCTGTTCAAATTCCTATTGGCAAAAACATAAGACAGAACAAGTGTTGGCGAAGGTGTGGAGAAAAGGGTATTCTTGTACACTGTTGGTGGGAATGTGAATGGGTACAGCCATTATGGAAAACAATATGGAGGTTCCTCAAAAAATAAAAATAGAGCTGCCATATGACCCAGTAATTCCTCTTCTGAGTATTTATCTGAAGAAAATGAAAACACTAACTCAGAAAGGTATATGCTTCATTGAACATAATGCTCATGTTCATTGTAGTGTTATATATGGTAGCCATGATGTGGAAACAAGTGTCCATGGATGGATAAGGGGATAAAGCAAATGCTGTGTACATACACATGGAATGTTATTCAGCTATGAGAAAGGAGGAAATCCTGTCATTTGAACAACATGGGTGGACCTTCATCTCATTTTGCTAGATGGAGTAAGACAAATGCAGTTTTCATTGTTTTTAAGTGTGTTAAGCATGCCATAACTCTCAGACCTCTGGGGCAGTGTAGTGTTAGCCATTCCACCATAGCATGCAAGTATTGTATTTTTGAGTTTTGTGTTTTCGTGTTACATATTTTTGCTTTATATGCTATCATTATATCATAGATATTTTTTATATTGTCATTCTTAACTCTAGTGACCCCTTTTTACACTGCTGCTTTAATATGGGTAGGGAACCACCCAACAAAAATAAAACTATAGGTCTTGAATGAAAGATAAACTCAGATTGACTTCTCACAGGTTTTTTAATTGCTTCTTTGTCACCGGTGTCTTTAATTTTTTAGTTGGAGCTGTTCCTTGTTAGAAGAAGATTTCACATAGTTGAATAATTTCTGAAGACTTAGTAGGGATTTAGTTGATATCAGATGATTCTGTAGTACTTTTTGATTCTGTGGAAGTTATTTAACTTCCATAGCAACTGAATTGTTAGTATTACAGAGAACTTCAGTTTAAGTATTGTATAGGAGTAAGGCTGACAAAGTCATAGGCATGCTACCGTGTACCTCTGCCTCACACAGATGACAGACACACTCATTTGTCAGACCATTCTTTCCCTGATTTTTGAAACAGCACTCTAGACAGATACTGCTTACTGGTTAAAGTAGAACTGTGGAACATAGCCAATGCATGTCAGAAGGAAGGGTTTTTAGTTATTTAGCTAGAACTCAGCCTTTCAATCCTTAAAAGTTCTAACTTGGAAGAATGATGTACAGATAAATAAGATCAGAGAAACTTCCAAAGGTGACAGGACTTTATTACTAAGTATCAAACCAATATGAAGGATCCAAACCAAAATAAACTTCTAAAAATGCAAAGTTCTTTAGCTCCCTTTCAGAGACTGTATAGTGAAATTACCAAGCTGTGCAACACACACACATACACCCTAAAGAGATTTACATTGTAGCCTTTTAATTTTTTAAGCCAGTGAAGAAAGATGTAAGGATGGCTTAGTCTCTGAGTTACTGAAACTGAAGTGAAGGCCAGCTTGATGTCCATGATTTCCTTAAAGTCTCGTTTCATTGTCTAGTTTGTTACTGCAGAGTTAAGCAGGCCTTCCCCCTCACTTCCAATTAAAAAAGAAAACTTCATAGTTTGTGGACCTTTTCTCTCTTGACTGAGGTACTAACAATAAATGTTGGATTCTAGATTAAAGTACGGGATTTACAAAGGAAATCATGGAGAACCAGTTTTGATGCCTGCATTCCTTGGACTTTGGAGGAGTATGAAGGGATAAAGTAGAAGGGCCAGTAGAGAAGGGAAAGATTTGTAAGATTATTAAAAAAGATTTTATTTATTTATTTTTTGAGAGAAGAGAAGGGAGGGAGAGAGAGACAGAGAAACATTGATTGGTTGCCTCTTGCACATGCCCCGCCTTGGACCAGCTTACATCCCAGGCATGTGCCCTTAACAGAATCAAAGCTGTGACCTTTAACTTTGTGGGATGACACTCAACTAACTGAGCCACGCTGATCAGGGCTGTAAGATTTCTTGAGAGCTTTGCTAGGCTGTGAAGGGGAGTTATGGAGAATGTGTGCTCTTCACTCAGGCCTGGTGAGTGGTGCTTCCATGAGGCCCCCAGGTACAAATGTTTCTTGCAGTTTTGAGGCAGAGGCCCTGGCACCCAAAAGCACTAGAACACAGCACATTGACAGTAGAGGTGTCTGCCTTTGGGAGGGGCAGGTTTCTGGTACCAAATGAGCATCTCACTGGAGAGAGTAGGTTCCGGACCATTGTAAAATTGTGCCTAAGGAGACCTGCAAGTCAGGCACTCAAACAGTAGTACTTTTGGTGATAGTGGAGTGTTGATCATGGACTAGGTTGCCTAATTCCTGAATTGAAGCTGTATTTGTAATAATGTGGCATCAAGACCCTCTCAGATAAGAGTGAATAGGAGTCATCAGATTTGCCCACATTTTCTTCCAGGATGGGAATAATTTCCCCCACTTTAAAGAGATACTGGGCTCATGTAATGCATTCTTATTTGTTCCTTCCCACATCTCCTACGTCCTACTTCTCAATTTTTCTCATTCATCATACTTTTGTCTTAACTGCTGTGTGTAGTATGTAGTTGCTTTCCATAGATCTTTGTTTTCATCTGTTTACCTGACTTTTGAAAATCGTGTGAATATGCACATCAAATTCCTTTATAAAATATGGTGGTTTGGGAAGCTCAGTTTTACATTAAGTATCTTTCTAAATTTTTGAGATGTTTTATGGATGAAGAAAACTTTATAGAGCACTCCTTTGAAAAATTTATAGGTTTGAAGTATATGTAGATATTTGTAAGGAGTTTAAAATATTGTTTTGATGGACTGATATATAAATCTTGTATTCATAAATGTAATGACGGTGTTGGCAACTTCCTTTGTAAAACAACTTTTATAAAGGACTATTTACTGACTAAATACATTTAAAAGAAAATATATTTTGAAACCTGTTCTGCTATGAACAGAAATGACATATATTTTTACTATGCCGTTGGTTTTTAAGTTAAGCTTCCTAGTGCATAATAAATTTGCAATGGATACTTTAAAAAAATTAAGAGACACTAGGCTATAAAATAATGTTTTGTCCTATTTGTGTCCTGTGAGTTGAGCTTACCCAGTGTATGATGTGAGGAACATACTTCATTCAGAAGGCATAGCAAGATCATAGAATAATAGAATAATGTAACAACAAACAGTGGATGCAAGAAAATATAATCCCTTTGAAGTTGCTGAAGCTTTTGGTTTGAGGATGAGAGTGGTAGAAATGAGTCTTGAGAGATAAGCAGGTTGAGATCATGGAGAGACTTGACAATAGAACTTGGACTTTATTCTCCATAGATGAAGGGATGGGGTTTACTAAGGGCTTTTAGCCAATAAGCTAAAGGTCTGCCCATGTTACTTTTTCTCTCATATCCAACTGTCTGACTTCCAGCATAGAGTCTGATTTATATTAGATATTTAATTAGTATTTGAACTAATAAATAAATGAATTGATCTAGAAGTTGGCATTAAAAATGTAGGCAAGAAAGTGAGCTGCAGTAATATATTACCTATTATCATATAAAATTATTTCAGACATGGACATGGAAATATAAGTACTGTATAGTTAGAGCTAATCTTACTGGTAGGCATTATGAGGCATTAGTATGCCTTAAAACAGCTTTCATCTAGGCCATTAAATTTTTTAAAAAATTATTTATTTGTTTATTTTTAGAGAGGGACGGGAGGGAGATAGAGAGAGAGAGAAACATCAATGTGGGGTTGCTGGGGGTCATGGCCTGCAACCCAGGCATGTACCCTGACTGGGAATCGAACCTGCGACACTTTGGTTCACAGCCCGCACTCAATTCACTGAGCTACGCCAGCCAGGGCTCCATTAAATTTTTTAACAAAATGATTTAATGTTATTAAGTTTCATTTTGCCTACATTTTTATTTTTGCCAATTGATTAGGGACTGATTTCATATTTGGATAGATTTTAGAAAGCATCAACTAAGTTTCTTTAAATCTTATATTCTAGTATTGATATAATTTCAATGTTTTAATTAATTTCCTATAATATATAATCAAAGTTGATACATAAGAAATTAGCTGAGGTGTAGGAAATATATTTTGTATACACACATAAACATAGGCTTTATAATGTAGATGGATAATTATAGCTGTTTATATTCATGTTTATTATACTAGGTACCCCTGGACATCTGTTACATCTTTGTAAATAATAGGACTTGAAGTATATTTTAAAATGTTTTTCTTCCTCAGAAGTAAATTTCCCCAGAAGGACTTGGAAATGCTCTTTCCTGGAATGAGTGCCGATTTCACAAGTGAGAACTTTTCAGCTGCCTGGTATCTTATAGAGAACCACTCAACCACCAGGTTAGTGATGTGGGACTTGATTGTGAATTGTTTCACTTGGATGCAGCTGATATGATTATATAGTAATGTGGGTTTTAGGCCTAGCTCTACCAATTTGGAGACCTTTGACTTTGGGTGAGTTTGTGAACATGGTAGGTTATCTATATCCTTATTTATAAAAGGGGATTATTAATTAGAGGACCCTTATTTACTGTTACCATGTTGTTTCTGTAAGTTTCATTATTTGTACAACGTATTGAAACTTTATGGAATCTCAGCTGGCTACCTAAACTGATGTGCCTGAATATGACTTTTCCCTACTCACATAAGAAAACTTTCAAGTCCTGGTGTAAAGTAGGGCACACACATCCTTCCCAGATCATAGAGCAAAGGAAGATGACTTGGTTTGTTATTTTGCAAACACTTGATTTAAAATTAGGCCAAAACATAGATAGGGCCATGTATCCAAAATAAAGTGCTCATTTTTGTCTAGTTACATTTTACCACTCTCTCTACAAGATTGGGTTTTTAACTTTTTTTGCAAGACTGTTTTAAAACAATTATATTTAGTAAAAATGTTTAAATGTTTTATTGCTTAAAATCTATATTCTTGAAAAGTCAATTTGTTAAAATGTAGCTTAGGAGAAATTTTTTAGCTATTAGGAGGCAAATCATTAGTAGAAAACATGAGGAAATTTGTTATATACATAGAATAAATTTGGCCTAATAAATTTTTAAAGCAGATGTCTGAAATCTTTCATTATAAAAAATGATTTTAATTTTACATTATGGATGTGCTTTTTCAGTTACTGTAAGTCAAAATCTTTTTTCTGTTTAGGGCTATCATGGAACTCAATATACTCAAATTTTATAGCCAGATTTTCTTAGCTCAGAAATAAAACTTCTGAAATACAGAGAACTCCCTATTTTTTTCTCTGCTTGAGATGTAGGCATAAAATGTTGTGGTCTTTTTTTTTTTAAAGATTTTATTTATTTATTTTTAGAGAGGGAAGGGAGGGAGATAGAGAGAGAGAGAGAAACATCAATGTGGGGTTGCTGCGGGTCATGGCCTGCAACCCAGGCATGTACCTTGACTGGGAATCAAACCTGTTACACTTTGGTTGGCAGCCCACGCTCAATCCACTGAGCTACACCAGCCAGGGCTTGTTGTGGTCTTTTTAAACAGTGAATTAAAGACCTCCTCCAGGTTTTCTGAAAATCACTGCTAAAGACTGGATTGGTTATTGATGTTGTAAGGATAACCGTATACTCAATTTGTGTCCAGAATACAGAAATGAATGTACAGAGAAGGTCCTGCCTTAGGTAGCATCCACAGCTACATGATCTAGGTCTTTCCACCAGGAAGATGATAGTCAGAACTCCTTACCTGGCATATGGATATATGATATATATATGGTAAAAAATTATCTATATGTATATTTACTTCATAAGGGTCTGATATAGTTAGAATGGCCATTTGAGAGCTACTAATCTCTTTTCTAGCTGTTGTAATTTTGGCATTCATGATAAAAGTTTTAGCTCTAGGTAAAATTTGAAAGCTTTTATTTTTTATCTGGTTATATATTATATTAGTCTATCTTTCTTAATGTAGTCTTCAGTATTTTATATGTAATGCATTGTCTTCTTTCTTTTTTAATGTTAGAGGTGTCAAACTTTTGGTTTCTTTATTTCATTCAGTTTTGAACAGCTCAAAATGGCAGTCACCAACCTGAAGAGACAGGCTAACAAAAAGAGTGAAGGCAGCCTGGCGTGTGTAAAAGGGGGTCTTAGTACTTTCTTTGAAGCCCAGGATGCGCTCTCAGGTAAGGTGACTCTCAAAGCCATCTGCTGTGGCTTCCACAACAGAAACCTGAAACAGTGTTTGCAGAGTGTTTACAGGCTGTGACATTTGGTCTGTATTTATAAAAGTAGATATCTAACATGTTCCATAAATATTTGTTGCAGACCAGGCTGAAATCTCTTTGAAGCATGATACTTTAAATATTTGTCTCTTGAGGCTTTTGTAGACTCCTGGTACATGTGCGAAATAGGAGACTACTTTGCCTCTCCACGATGCTCAGTCTCCAGGGCTAGTGAGAAATTAAATCCCAATGGGTAAAATTCTAGAATTTAAAAAATCCTTTTACAGACATCAATATCTTACACATGTGACTAATTCTATAAATTGTGACCCATTGTGTGTTTGGTTTGGAAAGAACTGATAATAAAAGTAAATAATTATTTTTAGCCCTCACCTCAGCAGTCCCATATACAACATACAGCTGTCCACCATACATGTCTTCATCTGTATATGCAAGGAAAATTGTATTAAACAGAAATATTATGGCTTTAGACATTTCAGGAAAAGATGTAAGATAGGTTCCCCCCCTGAAACTATCTTTAATAGAAATCAAATTATTGTTTTCCTAGTAAAGTATAACATATATTAAAAAAAGCCCAGTTCTTTTAAAAAACAAAGACACCTGTGAAGAAACAAGAATTCAAAAAAATGAGAGGCTTAGGAACCTCCAGGACATCTTTAAACATTCCAGCATCTGAATTATAGTGGTACTAGAAGGGAAAGAGGAAGAGCAACAAGTGGAAAAGTTATTTGAACAAACAATGAAGGAGAACTTCCTCAATCTGGCAAAGGAAATAGACTTCCAGGAAATCCAGGAAGCTCAGAGAGCCCCAAAGAAGTTGGACCCAAGGAAGCACATACCAAAGCACATCATAATTATATTACCCACGATTAAAATGAAGGAGAGAATCCTAGAAGCAGCAAGAGATAAGGAGACAATTACCTACAAAGGAGTTCCCATCAGACTGTTAGCTGATTTTTCAAAAGAGACCTTACAGGCAAGAAGGGGCTGGAAGGAAGTATTCCAAGTCATGAAAGGCAAGGACCTACATCCCAGATTGCTCTATCCAGCAAAGCTTTCATTTAGAATGGAAAGGCAGATAAAGTGCTTCTCAGATAAGGTCAAGTTAAAGGAGTTCATCATCACCAAGCCCTTATTTTATGAAATGTTAAAGGGACTTATCCAAGAAAAAGAAGATGAAAAGCATATACAGTAAAAACAAACAAAACAAAACAAAGGCACATATAACCTAGTACCTATATAGCTAAGTACTGACTATAATAGGAAGGCACACCTTACTCTATTTAGAAAGACTAAATTGTTAAATTAATTTGTATTCTTAAGGTACAGACATCCTCTTACTGTTTTTAAAACCTCTTCCTCCTGGGTCAGACATGACTTCTGACAAGTTAAATATTCATCTGATACAACTCTTTCCCTCCAGATAGAAGTTAGGTTTTGAAAGGAGTAAAATGTGAATGCCTAGGATGGAACAGAGAAATTATGTAATCTCTGATAAATACTCTATACCCCATATGTTTTGATCAAGCGCTTTTCTTTCTTTGTGCTTATTGATAATTCTAAGTTGTCAGTGTTATTATGTCAACAGTAAAACCCTGAGCATATATGAACAGTGTAGTGTTATCAAGTTATTTAATATGTTTAGTAGCTATACAAATGATAATTTGCGGTATGTGATTAGCTGTTATCATAGATAATGTTAATTAAAACTATTTCGGTTAGCAAAAAAATGTTTGACTTTTCTTTTTACCTTTTCTTTAATGTACATGTTTGTGTGTGTGTGTGTATGTGTGTGTGTGTGTGTGTGTACACTTTGTTTATAGTTTTATTTCTATAAGGGGCTTCACTCTTGGTGGATTTTAAGAAGTTTTATTTTGTGCATTAAACTTATTTAATTTTGCCTTGGCTGGTGATTGGAGTGTCATCCTGTACAACCAAAGGATGTGGGTCTGATCCCCCATCAGGTAACATACCTAGGTTACATATTTGATCCCTGGTTGGGGCACATATTAGAGGCAGTTAGTTTCTGTCATGTCGAATTTCTCTCTCTACATTCTTCTCTCTTTAAAATCAATAAACATATCCTTGGGTGAGAATTGAAAAAAATTTATGTAGTCTTATTTATTAGACATTTGCCCTAGAAGTGTATCAGTAACTTAAAAGTTGAACAAAGAAAAAAAATTTAACAAAGATAATGGTGACCAACTACTAATAAGCAACTGACTATCCCATATAGGAAATGATTTATTAATAGCAAATTTGAAAACATCAGACACATACATCTAGCTTTTCTATTTTTTGATGTAAATGAAATGCATATTATAAAAATATTAAACAGATGAATAATAGCAAGAAATACTGTAATTCCATTATAGAGATATTTGCATTAAAATTTGATGTATTTCTGTTTTTTTCCTTATATGTGTACTTACCACAAAATTGGAAAAATATGTATATAGTTGTGTATTTTAGAAACCTTTATTCTTTAGATTGCTTTTCTGGGTATTTATTTTAATTTATTGTAGCATTTGATTTATTAGTAGCTCTTTAGAAATTTTTTTGACTATAGTCTTAAGTGAAATTGATCTACAGTTTTTTAAAATGCTAATTATAATGCCCTGGCTGGTGGGGCTCACTGGATTTAGTGCTGGCCTGTGAACTGAAAGGTTGCTGGTTTGATTCCCAGGTAAGGCACATGCTTGGGTTGAGGGCCAGGTCCTCTGTTGGAGGTGTGTCAGAGGCACCTGTTTCTCTCTCACACAACAGTGTCTCTCTCTGTCTTTGTCTCCTTCCATCCCCCTCTCTCTAAAAATAAATAAATAAAATTTAAAAAAAACCAAAACACTAATTATTGGTCAGGTTTTGGTGTTAATATTATACAGAATCATATGAATTTCTATGTATATATGTACATACTTTGAAATGGGTTATGTAGATTAGGAATTATATCTTGGGAATGTGAAAGAGCTAATAAATTGCTCAGGTAATTTATTTTATTTTTTATTGTAATAACTTTCCAACATGCTAAAAGTTAATAGTACAGTCATCCCCATGTACCTGTCATCTAGGCTTAGTAGTTTTAATATTTTTCTGTACTTGCTTCATCAGTGTTTTTTGAGGTTGGTTGGTTTGTGTTTTTGTGACGTCAATTAAGAAATCTCAAGCAGCATGGTGTTTCTTTCTTGTGTACTTTGGTATGAGCCTCTCTCCCAGCCCCAATAAGAACATTTACTGAAGTAACCACAGTGCCATTATCACAGTTAACAAAAGTTTCAATAATTCTTTAATATCTTGAATTCCCAGTTCATATTCAGATTTCCCCAGTTACCCTCCAACTAATTTTTTTCTAATACTTGGTTTGGCAAAATCAAGGTCAAAATAGGGTCCAGATATTTCATGTTTTCTTCTTTAAGTTTCTTAAGTCTCCTTTAAACTAAAATAATTTCCCCACCTTTGTGACCCTGTCTTTTTTTTTTTTCCATGCTAAGGATTTATTGAAGAAACAAGGCTATTTGTCCTGTACTATATCCCATACTCTGGATTTGACTGATTACTTTCTCATGGTGTCATTTAACTTACCTTACATTCTATTGTTTGGATTTACCTAATTGGACATTAATAAGATTCAGTTTCAACATTTTTGGCTACATGTGGTAGTATGTGTTTTCCACTTTATCACATCAGGAGGCCATTAGTGTCTGTTTGTTCCTCTTGTGGGACACTATGGTGGATCAGTAGGTGCAAGTGGGGTAGGTACTGGCAGTTGGAGATACACACACACATACACATATACACACGCATGTATATGTGTGTGTGTGTGTGTGTGTGTGTGTATGTATTTGAAATTTCTACTTTCTATGTTTCATTTATTTTCATTTGGGTTCCCCTGAAATTCTCTTGTTAAGATTTTCATGTTGTTTTAGCATTGTTATAATTCTTAAATTATTTAAAATATGTGTTTTAGGCCCTTCTCATTAGCAACTGAATTTATTTGTGTGTTCTACTTCTTTTAATTACATTAAATCTTTTTTTAAGCATTGGTTTTAGAGAGGGGTGGAGAGAGAGAAACATCAGTTTGCTGTTCTGCTTATTTATGCATTCATTAGGTGATTCTTGTATGTGTCCTGACTGTGGGGAATTAATCAGCATCAACACTTCAACCAACTGAGCTACCCAACCAGGGCATACATTATAATTCTATTTTTGTGTTTTAAGAATTTGAAATTTTAATTTTTCTTTTTGATCTAGTAGTTTGTAGTAGACTTTTGTTTTTTTCAGTTATAGTCTTAGAATATTATGAAAGCAAGTGTTTCTTAATATATGCCAGTTTTCTGTTACATTGGTGAAGATAAAAATGGGGATGTGGGGCATATTCTCTTCAGGGCATACTGGTATATTATTAATACCTAATTAATTACATGATTTAAATCTAGGTTATTTATAATAAACCTGTGAGATCTCTCTCTTCGATGTTGTCAGCTTTTCTTTGTATGAAAAAATGTGCTCACTCTGTAACTTCAATTGATTGGATATCTTGATACTAATATTATAGTATTAGAGCCAATATAAAATTATAATATACAATACATATAATATATTATACACTATATAGTATAAAATTAGAGCCAATTCTTAAGACTACCAGCAGGTTTGATAATTTGCTAGAAGAACTCACAAAACTCACTGAAACCTGTTGTACTCACAGGAATGGTTTACTACATCAAAAACATATAGATTAAAATCAGCCAAGGGAAAAAATCATGGGGCAGGCTGGTCCAGGAAAATTCCATGCATGAGGTGTCCAGTATCTTTTCAAAATGGAGTCATGGACAGCACTGATATTCCTGGTAATGGTGTGAGACAATGTGTCTAAGTATTGCCAACCAAAGAATCTTACCCAATCCTTGGTGTCCAGTTTTTGGTGGGGCTCTGTTACATAG